CATTATCATAGGGGAATATGGTTCGTCGCTCGCTGGGAGGATCTTCGGCCGGGCCGCCGCCGCCACCGCCGTTGCTGCGTCCTCCTCCGTAGCCGGGAGAACCTTCGGCTCCGCCTCCCCTGCTTCTTCGGCGGCGTCCGCCGCCGTGGCCGTGCCGCCCGCCCGCTCGGCCTCCCCATGGTGCCCACGACCGCCCTGACCGGTCACCACCTTCGCAACGCCGCCGATCCAGCCCAAGACCCCCCAGAGCGGCGGGCGATGCTGCTGCTGCTGCTGCCGCATACCTTTGGCGGGGGCGGGCTCGGGTTCCAGAGTCGCGCCAGCAGAGCTGGTGCTCGGCGACGGCATCGACGGCGTCCTGTGGTGATTTCTCTGGAGCGATTTCTGAAATTTCTCGGGCGTGAGGCCGTCCTGGCAAGCGGCGGCAGAAAAACGAAACCGAGCGACAAAGCATCGGTAAACAAGGCTCGCGTGGGAATTCGACGGCGTAGAACTGCGCCTTTGGAGGGAGCTCCGTGGACACGCTCAAGAGGAAAACGTCAACATGTGTGGAATGGAGTTCTGTCTTCCGCCTCGAGACTCTTCTGTTCTAAAGTGCCCGTCATGTCCGGGGCCCATTTGTATTTCACACGAGAGTGCCCATCCACACATGAAAAACACAGGGGAACGAAGCAATGAATGGTTAATGGTAGTTCCAACAGCACCCGCCGCGTGTTTCGTATCTACCAACCGGTTATGCCCCAGGTACTGAAACACCTGCTGTAATCCGTTGTTTGGGCCAGAGAGAGACTTCCGAGTTGCGGAACATCTCCTACGGCGGTGCGGAATACATTAGACGCAATTCAAGCAAGATTGTCGGGACTGGTAGGAGGGTACACATACCTCCTTCAAGTGGGTCACCACGGCCGCAAGGTCTTGGCCCAAGGCGTCAGGGTCGATGTTGGCGGCGGTGAACGACCTGTCCCTCGATTCCGACTTGCCGCCGTACTCTTCCCCATCCTCCCTCAAGTTGTTGAGGCTCTCCACCCGCCGGAGCTTGGGCTTGCCCCCCGACGCCGCCCCGCTGCCGCTCGAAGGGATAGAGTCGTCGTCGGCCGCGTTGCTGACGACGCTGCTCAGCAGGCTCGACGCGCCGCTCCCGCGCCTCCCGCCGCCGCCGCCGCCGCCGCCGCCGCCGCCGCCGCCCCTGCTTCCCCCTCTGCCGGCGCTCCCACCGCCGTCTTCCCCGTCGCTCAGCAGCGGCCGTGTTACCACCGAAGACGACGAAGACCGGCGCAAGGACGACTTCGAGCTGGAAGACTCTCTACGCGAGCCGCCGCGCCCGCCCTCCCGCTCTCTCTCCCCCCGGGGTGTTTGCTTCCCGCCGGCGCCTACCTGTTCGGGCGTCGTCTGCCCAATCCTCGCCACCGACTTTCTCCTCGGGGACTGGGCCGGGCTCCAGACGGGGCCTTTACTCGTCTCCAGCAGCCGGTCGCCCGGCTCTTGCCCGACGGGCGGGTGGCGGCGGGGGGACCGCGGAGGGGTCCTGGCCCGTAGGGAGGCCGAGAAGCCGACGCGGCTCGGGGACGGCGATCTCGGCGGACTGATCCTGCCGGGAGAGGAGGCCGCCGGGAAGCCACCGACCCCGCCGGGGGAGGAGAGCGACTGCTGCGACGGCAGAGACGACGGGCCCGCCGCGCTGCGCCCGCCGGCGGCGGGGCTGGACGCGGGAGACCTGGGAAAATCGAGCAAGAGAGCGCCTGGTTGTTGCCGCCCATATTGTTCGTCGTCATCGTGGGAAGAGAGAGCGATGGCGGCAGGGCGGGGCGGCCGTCGCGATCGTCTGCCTGACGTGCTGCCGCCGCTGCCTTCTGCCTCGTCCTCCTCCTCCCCCTCCCCCTGCCGCTCTCCTTCCCGTGCCTGCGACACCGGCGCCATCGGCGGGGGACGCGCTGACAGCGATCCGGCATCGCCGTCGTGCTCCAAAATACCGGCCTCGTCGGAGATAGCTGTTGCTGCCGCTACGGCCTCTGCTGCTTCATCCTCCTCCTCGGCGCTGGCGAACGAATCGTCGCGATTATTTTCTCCCTCGGCGAGCTCGGCTCCGAGCTCCTGAGTGGAGTAGAAGGTAGCTCCTTCCACGACCACCTTCTCCTCCCCTCCAGAATCTTCTTCGACCCCTTCGGGAGTCAGAGCGGCCTCTCCGACAACCCTTTGCCCCGCCGCGATCCCACCCATATCGTACGAATCCCTCCGTCTCCCCGACCCGGGGGAAGGGTAGGAAGGGATAGCAGCGACGCCCGATTCTTTTTCACCGGCCTCTGCTCCCGGTGGTTGGCTTTCAGCGGCGGTGTCGTCCACCAGACCCTCCGACCCAGGGGCTGCGACCGGAACATCGACGGACTCTTTCCGGGACTCCTCCTCGCCTTCCACGCTCTCGGGAGCTGCGTCCTCCACCAGCTCTTCGGGTCCCGTCAGAACCTCAGCAGCCGGAGAACTGACACCTGGTTCGTTGCCCGCCTCTTCTCCTTCAACGCCAACAGCAGAAGCAGCAACAGCAGCAGCAGCAGAAGCAGCAGCGGGTGTCGCTTCCAGCCCTTCTGCTGCCGCGGAGGCACCACCATCGTCGGTTTGAGTGCCGACGGGAGCTACGGTAACCACAGCCGTCAGCCCCAGCACCCGAGCTAACTCCGCCAAATCCGCGGGTTTGGCTACAAGGTCAGGCAGAGCAGCAGCCGCCAACCCCTCCGCCGAGTGCCCCTCTCCTCGGGGCTGGGCTTCCCTTTCGCCCCCAGCTTCTACCCCCCCGTCGCTACCCCCCCCCACTACAATCCCCGCTTCCTCGCCGTCACCTCCCCCTTCGACGGCCGGCGCCTCTGTGCCGAGCTCTTTCGGCGGTTCGACCGCCGATTCCGAGGCCTCCTCCCCGGCTATCGTCGACAACTCCGGCCCGTCATCGCTCGCGGACGCGGCGGCGGCGGCGGCGGAAGGAGAAACGACTTCCTCCGCCTCGCCTCCCTCTGCGCTTTTGCGAACGCCACCTGTGACGGCTAGTTCCGCCGCTCGCTGCTCGTTCTTGAAGTTGTCCAAACTATCGGCGCTCATCTCGGACTCCTCCCTGTCTTCCGCGTCTACTGCCACCACCTCACCCTCACCCTCACCCCCCTCCCGCTCAACCGGCGGCGCTGCCTCGGCGTCGTCGCCCGTGCCATCCTCCGCACCGTCGGGCTTCCCTCCTCCTCCTCCTGCCTCGCCTTTCGCAGCACCGGCTTCTGTCGCCGCCTCTTGCGCTCTGCCGCCGGCCTCAGGACCATCTGCCTCTTCGTCACCCTTCTCTTCACCCCCAACCTCTTCGCCTCCCCCTGCCTCGGCAACCGCCTTCCCTTTCCGGGGCGTCGCGGGACCCGTCCCCGGCGCCAGCAGCCAGGAGGGCGCAGACGAGGGCTCCACCACCACCGCATCTTTCGACTCCGACCTCGACCAGCAAGGCGCCGGCAGGGGCGCAGACGACGGCTCGACGGGTCCCTTGGACGGCGAAACGTCCGCGAGGTCTGCGTCGAAGTCGCCCCCGTCGCCGCTCACCCCCCTCGACAGGGAGACGACGGAAGAGGAAGACCCCGTCCCACCGCCGTCCTCCTTGACTCCCGGCAGAACCAGCAGCTTGCTTGTGGACGAAGACCGCGAGCCGAAATCTCTGTACGGGGGCGTGTACAAGTCGTTACCGGCCGCCTGGAACGGGGACATGGTCGCCTGGGACGCCTGGGTCTGGCACTTGGAGCACTGCCACCTTGCGCCGATGTGCTCGGCGACGAAGGCGTCCCGGAGAACGCGCTGCTCCGGCGGGAACAGCGCGTAGGGTATCCGCTTTTCCCCCACGCAGAAGGTGTGGAACCCTTGGCTGCATTCGCTGCATGTGATCACCTGGACAGAGAGAGGAGGGGGAAGCGGCAAGAGAGATAGAAAACAGTGTAAGTTGAGCATATCGGAGGAGATCATCGCATGGGCATGGGTGTCCAAGAGGAACGAGGGCTCCATACGTCGCGCTTACAACAAACGTATACACCGAGGGAGACCTTGACTCTCGACAACAAAAAGCACAATACGGTCGACAACCCCGAGGCACAATAGTACCCATCCAACCTTCTGAGCTCGCCCCCATCGCTTACCTGCGCTTGCCCGCCGGCATCCGCGTTGCTACATCGCGCACAGTGCGGCTCGTTGCCACCAAAGAACCCGCCGTTGGCAGCGCTGCTTCTGCTCTCGGCCCCGCCCTCTTCTCTCTCCCGCGCCGCAACGCTGCCCCCGCCGCCGCCCCCCGCCCCTCCGCCCCCGCCGCCGCCGGCGCTGCTGCTCGGAGAAAAGCTACTCGTGCCCTGCGTTCTGGGCGTCGGCAACCAAATACCGCCGGGAACCACGTAATGCTGGCCGCCCCCGGCACCGCCCGCGTCTGCCTTGCCCCCGCCCCCCATCCCCGAGCCCCAGGGAGCCGCGTTGCTGCTCGAGATCCCGCCGGAATTCTCGCGAGGGAAGCCGGACGACGCCCTAATGGCCAGGCTGCTGGTGGTCACGCCTAAACGCTCCGATCCCGCCGCCGGGGCCATCGAGCGAGTCTCTGCTGTGCTGGGAGTCCTCGTAGTGGTCGAGCGACAGGTTTCCCTGCACGTGACGGTACGGTTGCGTTTGCGGAAAGGGGTATTCGCAGGAAAGAAGGCAAGACTTGGTGCGTGAAAAAACATATTATAGTTGGCTTTGGTCGGACGAAGTCTCTTGGCTGGCACAGTACTTTGCAGGTGCTACACGCACACATTCCGAGTCGAGCATGCGACCACACGATACACCGCTGACAACACGCTTGCATCCAAGGCACACGAGGGCTTCTTAAAGAGCGCGGCACGTTCGCGCAGCACCATCACCTACTTGTGAGCATAGTCGCCGACGCTTACGTAGCGCTACTACTACTGCTTTTCGCAAGCGCGTCGACCTCCACCGGTCACTCAACAAAAAGCAACGACGGCGTGCGGTGTCCGAACCTGATCCGACTCGAGCATCGACCCCGGCGACACCACCGAGATGGACTTGGCCCGAAGCCCTCGGTTCGGCGAAAAACCTTCCGAGGACCTCGGCGAGAGCGCCAGGCGGTACGTCATGAGGTCCTGCAGCGGGCTCTCCTTCATCATCGTAATCGCCGCGCTCAGATCGTTGTTGGCGAGCTGCAGCGCCAGCGTCGACGCCTCGGGAGGGAAACCCCGCCCCAGGAGCTTGTCGAGCCGAGGGAGCAAGGGGGTCACGAAGTGGAACGAGCTGAGGTCCGCCAGGCCTGTGTTAACCAACACGTCCACCCGTGTCGACAAAGGGAGACAAAGTGAACAAAAGCAGAGAAGAGAAGTGAGGATTGAACAAACACAAGCAAAGACAACGCGGGGAGGGAGTAGGCGAGCACTGCGGCCGAAACTACACCCCAACACGCACAGGGGGTGCTTGCTTGCCTAGCGAGTGCCGAAAGCCGGGAGAGAGACAGCGGGGGGAGGGGGGGACACCGCGCGAACTCGTGAGGAATAAATCCACGCTGGTTCTGTCGCACGGCGGAGCGTGCGTGCTGTTGCGTATTGCCCGCGAGAAAAAAAAACTAGACGAAAACAGGCGTAAACCACGCGAGCGCAACGTCCAAGCCACGGAGCAAAACCCCGTTCACAGCTACACACACACACCTCGGACGCACACACACACACAGGGCTGGTCATCATCCCCAACACCACGAACAAAACCCCACCAAGAAATCCACGAACGCACCCCAGTACTCTCTCTCTCTCTCTCTCTCTCTCTCTCTACGTACCTTGCTGGGTAGCGGCGGGGCCGACCTTGACCTGGTCCTGCTCCTGGAAGGAGAAGCTCGAGCCGGCGTCCTCTTCTTCTTCAGGCACAAGGACCAAGGACACGCTGAATACATCGTCCGGGATCTGGTCCCGGTAGCTCGGCATCACGTCCACCTGTCAAAAGAAAACAGACGCATGGCACATGGGGCACGCAGGTATTTCTCGTCTTTAAGAACCGGGGGGCGGGTGTCTTTTTGTCGACACATGGAGGTCCCGCTTACGTCCGCACTTTTTTGGGGGTTCTGACGCGCGCGTTCGCCGCGAGCAAAGGACGACATCGCACGCGACATCGCGGGAGCATGGGTATGAGAGGCAACGGTTCGACAGCAAGCAAGGCCGGGGGCCGGGGACTTGACTGCCATGTACAGGCAGAAAAAAGGATAAAAAGCATTCTTCCAGTGTGGTGCCAACAAATATTGAGGGCTTCGCAATGCCTACGCGTTCGGGAGCTCGCGCAAACGCTCGAATCAGCACGCCAGCGGCTCTCACGAGCACAAAGACAGGAGAGTCTACAGCAGCAGTCCTACCGCGGTATGGAACGACTTTTCCGCCTTGCTCTCCTTCGATATTGTACACGTGCCCGGCGCGCTCGCAAGGAGAGAAAAAATAAGAAGGGAGGTCTATCGACACACCCGGATACATACACAATACCACCCCCGTGAGGGAAGAACGCCTCTAAGCTGTCAAAACCCACGGCAAGAAAATCGAGACGGGCGCTTTGCGCTGGCCACACCACGCACCTCAGACTTCCGGAGAACGACCTGCTCCCCCTGCGGCAAGAAGCACGTGTGGTTGCAGTATCGGAATAACACCCCCTCCGGCCCCGTCTCTGCGGCCCCGTCGGTACCCTTGAACCGCGCGATTACTACGAAGTCCCCCGTGAGCGGCTTGTTGACCTTGAAGAACCCTTGATCTTCGTTCCACAGCTGTTTACCGTGGCGATTTTTTTGTTGTTGTTGATAAAACCGCGAGGCGTGGGTGGCGGGGCAAAGGGGTCAAGGAAGGCGACTCCAACGTGTGCAGAGTAGAGCCTGAGATTTGCCACACCAGCTGCAACTTCACCGCTGCTAGACCACCTACCACCACCACCACGATGTTAGCCTCAAAACTACCGCAAGACGCCACGTCACGGACTAAACACCAGCACCTACCACGTGACTGTCCTCTTCTTCCTGGGTGCTCGAGTACAGCAGCTGCGTCGGTCCGTACACCTCGAGCACCGGGGGCTCCGCAAGAGGCAGGCCATTCAACGCCACCCCAACCAACAGGCCGCCCCCGGCCCCTCCCCGCGGCGGCCGGCCCAGCCGTATGCAGCAGTCGAAGTTGTCGAAGAGGGCGAAGAGGCTCCGGGGCGTGTGGAGGATAACCTGGAGTACGTATGGGTGCAAGGGGGGAGAGGCGATCACAAATCGGGGGGGGGTATTCATGTTTTTGCATGCCGAATAAGTTAGACCATTGGCCTCGCCTCCCCTGGCCCCAATCGAGCACTCACCCAACAACATGCCGTCTTTCGCGAGAAAATAATGAAAATAACACCGACACATATGCACCTAACACACGCCAAGACTCGCTCCAGGTGTAACGCCCAGCCGCTGGGCCCGTGGGCATTCTGCTGTGGTGATAAACGACACCATACGATACACAGCTCTCAACGACCTTTGCGCCGTTCGGCTCACCTGCGGTCGGGTTCCTGCATTTTTGGGTCTTGCTCGAAAACAAAAACGCCAAAAAATGGAGCGAAAAAGAATAAAAAAATGGCTTTCCACCAGCACCCCCTTGGATTCCTGCTTTGATCGAAACATCGAAAAAAATTGACGAGAACTAGCAATAACAACGTATTTGGTCTACTTTGCTCGATTTCTGCTCCAAAAATCGAAAAAAACGCCGACGAGAAAGAGCAAAAGAAAAAGAAAGGGCACTTTGGGGTTGTAAACTATACCTGCTCGGGCTTCTGCTCCGGGTCTCGCTTCGCCCACACTCGACGATACGCCTCGAGGGCGGTGGACTCCTCCCCCTCGAACCGCAGATAACACGCCAAGAGCACCGACGTCCTCGCCTTTCCGTTCGCGCAGAACACGGCAGCCATGTTCTCCGGATCCAGGTCGAGCCAGCCCTGTCGCAATCAAATGGCCGCCCCGGATATTGGGTTTTCGAGGGGGGGAGGGAGGGGGCTCTCACGTAAACGCATGCCGTAGTCGCTACAGACCATTGGCCTCGCAACACTACAAGAGGGGTTTGTGTGGAGTGCGTGGACATGAGTGTGTCTAATGGATTCAGCCGCCAGGTTAATCTTCAAAACACCAGTGCTGCGCGAAGCGATTTCACGTCGAGCAACCTCGGGGTTACCGCGCCAGTCTGACGGGAGGAAAGCGCCAGAACACGCCGGAAAGGCAGAGGCAGCAAGTACCGTAGGAGCATCGGTTTCTGCGCGAGTGAGACGGGGAAAAAAAAAAGGCCCACTTGGCTGTAGTCGCGCGCGAGCAATGCCGCTGCTTACGATCTGAAGGCAGCCGTGCCACTACGCCGTGCTGCCAACGAAACCAGCAAAAAAAAAATGCACGCTATGTAGCTCATCACGCGTCAAGCAAAGCCAACAAAATAAAGTTCTTCTCCCTGACAAGGGCATGTAGTGTGCATCACTCACACAATCCGGACGGCATCTACGGCAGCTCCCACGCCCCCTTCGTTCGCTCACCTTGATCGAGTAGCAGACGCGCAGGAGATGTCTGATGGACGGCACGTAGCAACGCCGGTTCCGGCTGCCCCACGGGATGTCCAGGACCTGCCCCTGCAGCCGCTGGTGAAGCTTCCGAGACACCTGCGTGCCGGCCGCCTGCTGCCTCCCGCCGCCGCCCCCGCGCCCTCCGCCGTTGTTCGAGCGGTGGTCGGAGATGTTCCAGACCAGGAAATGCCCCTTGTGGTCGTTGACCAACCAGTTGGAGAGGTCGTCGACGTTGTTGCGGTTCGCATCTCGGTCGCTCGGGCCGTCCACCGGGCAGCCGATCGCTGTTATATAGTAATATTTGTCAAAGAACACAATTCGATACGGAAAAGATGACACAAGAACGTACCGCCAACAAGAAACGAGAGGGTGCGTGGGAAGAGGGAGGCGCATCGTCACGTGTGCGAGGAGATGCTACGCAGGCAACCTACACCTCTCTACAACATCACTCGCTTCAACCCTATGCCACATAACCCTATGTTGTATAGAGGTTAGGCCAGAAGAATGGCGCAAGCGGCAAGAGGAAGAGAGCATCGATGCAAGACTACAGCCCTGCGCCGTTGTTCGGTTGCGTCCAGGACGTACGTACATGGAAATGACGTACGCTACTAAACCAAAATTTAGATCACAACTGCTGTGGGGAGCAACCACACACGCAACCCCAGCAGCAAAACAATTTCAACAAAAAATTACGTCTATTTTTATTGTAGGGTTAGAGCCAACGACAAGAATCGGCACGTCGGCCAATCATGTCTACACAACAAAAACAGTTTCACACGGAGCTGAACACGTGAGACTCAAGACGACTAAAAGCGAGGCTCGCTTTACGGCGGAGTTTTAGTTCGATGACGTTGCACCCGCTTAAACCCTCCCTGAACAGACAGGAAACTCGATTCGTGGGCCCTTGGAGTCAGTCTCTACACAAAAACAAACTCCCGTGTCTAGTACCTCCAATTCCGCATTTATCCAGGCAAACCAGCGATTTTTCCGAATTATATCGCAGGCCATCCCAACAAACATGAAAAATGTCAATATATGAGTCACACGTCAGCAGTATCTATCCACGGATGGAGATAAATCTGTATGGTTCTTAGAGAGAGAAGGAAACAAAGAAACAAAGAAAGGAAAGCAGGGCGGAAATAAGCGCCCTTCCTGTTCCGAGGTCGTCAGGCCGTGGCTCAACTAGCAACGACACATCATAATAATACTTGTATAGGGAAAGCCGATGGACATGTATGTCGTTTACACTCCAAAGTTCAAAGCAGAATTCCCCCGTCCCTCTTGGACCCTGTAGCACAGCTCGAGTTTGTCCGTGTTTCACGACAAAATACTCTAAATGCTCGTGCCGTGGGAACGCTAGATCACCAATCTCGTTACAGGAGCTATTTCTTCATGCGGTTAGTGAGGTCAAACCAATCAGATCAAATACAGGGGCGCGTGACCCCCACCCTCTGCCGTTGAAAAGCTTCATGTGGCGTGGAAAAGAAATTCGCTCTCGGATGCGAGTACCGTACAAGTAGCTGCTGCTGAAATTACAAATGAAAATGCCAAGCGCTTGGCGAGTGTGTACGAGCTGGCGTTTGAGTTCGGCCTCTCAGCGTCCTCCCGAGACGCCCCCGGGTGAATGAAACACCCGCAAAAGACTAGAGACCCGTGTTACCCCACGGGCCAGGGTCGCAACACAGAAGCAGCAGTTGCACCGCACCCCGCCGTTGCGGTACGTACACAGCGGTGAACAGACCTCTGCCTGCCTGCCGGCTAATGTGTCAAACGTGCGCTTTCTTTTGTGTCGAACCTCTGCGTCTAACAGCAGTGCTAAATAAAATGCCCTCTGGAGAACCGGACACGCAGACGCAACCAGACCTTCGCAGCTATGCACGTGTGACAACACACCCACACAGGCGGGACACATGCCCCCCAAGTGTGACGAGAGAGGGCCAGACACATAGGGATGAAGAGTAAAAAAATGCTGGCTGTTGCTGTGTTTGTAGCCCGTCCGAGTCTGCACGAACATAATGTGCGAGTGCTGAAGTACCCCACTAGCAGCCCTGGTGGGGGTGGTGCAGCGGTGGCCGCCGTCACTGAACCAACACACGAACGGCCGCGACTCTTGGCTGGTTTAGGGCAGCGCGCGTCTGCTGTGTTTTGTCAGCCTTGGGACCTTCTCACTCGCACACAGCTTGCCGTTGGTTCACAGCCTGTGGCGAGAACAGGGGCAACTGCTGTAGACAAGTAGGGGGTGATGGTGCCATGATGAACACTACCAAAAGGGGGATAATCTCAAACACCAACCAGATAAAGCCTCGAGAGGTGGGGTGCACGCGGTAGGAAACGGAGTTCCTGTGTGCGAGAGGGAGGCAGCAGCTGTCGGTCGACGCATGGATGATGGGCCCTCTCGGCATAAGAGAAGGGGCCGTAAAAAGTCCGTTCTGTAATCAATTTTTTATGAGCGTCAACCAAAACCAGACACACCTGCTACTGGTGTGCCACCTCAAACACGGGCTGCCAGGAGGAAAAACATGCTGGCGTTGGGGGTCGCCTTGTTGGCCTACACGATGTGCCACACGCCAGCGCTCGGCAACGAGAGAGCGCGAAAAAAAGGGGACACGCACACACACGCGCACTTTTCCGCCAACCCAGCAGGAGCTGTTTGCAGAAGACCGCAGCAGCAGCAGCAGCAGCAGCAGCAGCAGCAGCAGTGCTGAAAGCACTCACCAAGTAAACGATGTGTGATGTACGTTATGTCCAGCGTTGTCATGTCTACGGGGCCGGTCCCGAGCGACAAATCATTGTCCTCGTCCTCCTCGGCGGCCTCCTTGTACCCCTTCCCGAAGAAGTTCCACATGGCAGCCACCACCGGCGCTGCTGCTGCCCTCGCTAGTAGCTCTCTCCTCCTTTTCTCGTCAAAACGAGCTGCTGCTTCGTGTGCGGGTCGCGCCCTAAACCGCTGAAACCGGTGTTAGCCCACAATCGCCTGGATCCCTGACGGCTCCGACACATCACCTGCCTCGCCCCGGGGTGGAGAGGGGGGCTACGCTTGCCGAGCTGAGGGGGGAAAGCGCTGCAGAGTTTGCACACAGCAGTAGGAACCACCACGCCCAAAGAGCGGTGGAGGGAGGCTCCGTAAAATCGTACGGCGGGTACGGTAGCCACAGAAGCCCCTTCCGGTTCTGCTGTCTGGTGTGCTTGTTCTTGTTGCGGACTGGCTCCGTGGTTCAGCTGGCTGGTGCAGCATAGCCAGGCCGTGTCCCATGCAGGCGCCTTTCGATGCAGAGGGAAATGGCGCGCCCTCGAATGATACGGACGTGCTGCAAGAGAGCCCGGCAGCGCCTGGGGAACATGCGCAGGACGGCAGCGGCGGCCTGTTAGAGGCAACTTTCGAAGAGAGGTTCGAGCAGTTTTACCTGCAGCTTGCCGAGGGCAAGACTGGGGGCATGGTGGTAAGGGCAACCGCTACAATACTACGTGTCATGCTATACTTTTGGTACTGCGTTCGGGCAGATGATTTTGCGCTGTGGACTCGCCGCCGTGCTGCTTAGAGTGTTCTTCTGAGCTGTCCGCCTAATAGTAATACCGCAGCAGCAGTGCTAGAGGCGATTTCACCGCATTTGCGTTCATCCTTCCTATGAATGTAATCGTGCCACGCAGAACAAATCTCAACTCGCTACATGTGACACCGCCCAGCGAGTGCAAGCACGTGCTTGTCGACGACCTTGTTTGTCCACAACAGCAGGCCGAAGAACGCCTTCCTATCTCGAGCGTCGAGGCACCTCGCACCCACCAACTGCAGTAGAGCTGTAAACGGCGGATCTCGAGACTGGTTATATGTGTAGTCCAAAGCACGGGAGTGCAAGGACTGGGGCAGCAATTACATGCTCGATGTCCCATCCCTGGTGCACCACCCTCGAACTGCACTAAAAAAACACAATACGACCGGTACACAAAAAAAACTTCCAACACAAAACGATGGCAGGCCTGTGTCGACGAGATGCAAAGGATCGTGGATTCCACGCGTCAAAGACAGCAGCAGCTGGATCCCGTGAAACCGCCGTCGGCGGCAGCGCCGCCACAAGCGTCGCCACCATCCTCGACGTCGCCGTCCGCGGCGGTCTACGACGAAATGCTGCAAGACTGCCGCAGGAAGGCGGGAGAGGTGACTCTCGACCGCCTGCGGAAGCTGTGCCAGAAGCTTTCCCGGCCTAACGCGAACCGCGATGACGACGGCGGCCGCATGGGCGGGGAGGGCGGCACTACGCTGGGCGAGGAGGAGACGGTGGTGGTCAGCTACCACGCCGCCCTGTTGGGCAAGGCCGAGGGCGCAGCCAATATCTACGGCGGGTGAGGGTGGAGGGGCGTGACTTCGATCTGTCCGTTCTTTACTTAGCACTGACCGCGCCTGATTGGCTTCTGTCAGTCCACTAACTGGCATTGGACCAGAGCTCGCTCCTTCTCACTCTTAGAATCGTGGGGGGTGCGAGGTCAATGGTCTAACGACTACGGCATACCAATGCGTTACCATGAGTACACCCCTCTAACGGGAGGGCTAGAGATCTCCACCACCAACACGATGAAAGCACTTGTTGGGAAAAGAACCCTCCTTTGCCGCCGCACACGCTTCCATCTCTCCGCCCGGTCCTTGCCACCCAGATTCCTCCGAAATAGGCTAAAGCAGGCCAACGACGCCGCCGTCAAGAAGCTCTCCTCGCTGCGGCCCTTGTACCGCCTGAGCCTCGCCTCCGGAGGCGGCGGCGGCGGGGTAGCAGCGGGAGGAGGAGGGGGGGACGCGTCGGAAGGGGGGGAAGGCGGTGCCGCGGCCGCTGCCGACCCCCACCCCCACATCACGGCTCTTGCGACCGTCTTGGGGGAAGGGAGCAAGCTCATGGTCCGGCTCGCTGAGTCTAGCCTAGGGGACGGGGTGATGGAGCCGGTCGCCGAACTGCTGCACAAGGACAGCAAGACTCAGGTTGATACTTGACGGGTAGACGGCTGTGGCTGGTGTGTTTTTTCGGGGGGGGGGGTATGGTACGCTCACGAAGGGATCGTAGGCCACTCGTGGTTCTGTTTGGAAAACGTCTAATTTTTTTTTTGTGTCAGACTTTCGACGATGTACCACCTGGATTACGGATTCCACGTCTTTTTTCTGAAATGACTGGAAACATCAATTGCGCTCCTGGCTTTCTGGTGATCCAAGTACTTGCCAACTCGATCAAAGTTTCCTCGTGTATCAACTGCAGCGCTTGGAGGAGGTAGAGCTGCCGTCGTGCGTCGAGACGTTGCAATGCGCGCGAAGTATCAGCTTACTTGCGAGTAGACTGAAGGCGGTTTGATCGGGGCTCCTGCTGGTCCCACCCATCCCGCCGCTTCTCCTTTGCCTTTCGCCTCTGTCGAATTGCTTCTTTTTTGGCGTTCAAGTCGACTGCTGACTATGCATGCGTTCAGGTTGTTATTTCGTAGAATTCCAGGACATAAAATCCATGGGACTCCCGGCCCGCTCAAAATCACCCTTTTTGAAATCGCCTGTTCACGCTTGTAATTTGCTGGGCACACACATACGGATTAGGCGGTCAAGATTTTAGAGTGGTTCCAGCACGACGCAGACCTGCCCAAGTGGCAAGCACAGGTTTCGGGAAGGACCGCGGGGCAACGAGCTGCGGCTGCCGGTGGAGGGAGCCGCCCGTCTTCGGCCCCTACCAGCGGCAACGGCCGCGGCGGCGGTGGCGGTGGCAGCGGCAGCGGCGGCGGCGGCGGCAGCGGAGAGGGCGGCGGGGAGGGCTTGTTCGACGCGCGAGGGATGGATTTTGTAATCGATGAGATGGCGCTCGCCTGCCAGGTGGGTTGGTGGGTCGGTGGGCGGGCGGACAGCCAACGACCATCGAAAGCCCATGACACTGCATACCACCTGCACACCAACCTCATCTCGGGTAGACAGGAGAAGCCTAGTTGACGGCGTTCATCCCGCCGAGGTTTTGTACGTTACAGATAAGCTTTGGCAGAATAACTTTTCCTGCAGATGAACGCGTACTACAGGTTCGGCGGGACCCCGAGGCCCATACGTGATCAGTGCGTACCCCTTGAATTGGCCGTGACAACAATCCCGCCGCTACTTCATTACTGCCGATTCGACGTGCAGTACTGCCACAGATACCTCGACTTCGTCGCTGACGACCTGGGTCTGCCGGAGGACCAGTCGTCCGAGTTCTACGCTCAGGTGTGTGCATGTTTGATGGAACGGCCAGGTGCATGTTTGTTGAGGGGGGCAAGGGGACGAGGAGCAGGTGACGATTATTTAGCGTCGTTCGGGCGTAAGAGGCAGCGTTTCGTTCACCCCATCCGGATTGAGGCAGCGGTGTCCCATGACGACACACGCAAGCAGCAAGCTCGCGTCTACTAAGACCCTCGCACGCACCCCAAGCGATGCTCTGACCGAACAGGCGTTCCGAACAGGATAGTATCTGGGTTGGGGTAGGCGAACCCGTGGTTGTTGTTGTTGCTGAAAACAAGTTCGCGGCACAGAGTGCTGTACCCGGGAGCTCAAACCTTCTTCTCCTTCTGGTTCTGGATAGTCTAATAAACCTCTCTACGTTGGTTTGCTGTGTTTCCCTTTTGTAAAATGTATCGACAAGACAGGAATCCTTGTTGTTGTTTTTCTCCTTTTCTGTGCTATAGTAGTAGCCGACAGGATTTAAGTAATTGTGCGGGTGTTGACTGCCGTAGTCTTGTCCTTGTCGTATTGTTAAGGAGCCCCCAACATATGCGCCATTTTGATGGGAGACCCCTTCTCTCTGGGGTACATTTTGATTGACGTGAATCACTCGTAGTCATTTATACCGGAAAGCTGGACTGGTGACGCGGGATGAACCGGACGACCAGCCAAAGCGCGTCAAGTGCTGGCCCACTTGCCCCTACCCACCCGCTTGACCATCTTTCCTTGCACTTGTGTGTATGCTAATGAAAAAGGTGCGATTGATAGAAGGCGCCTACGTGCAACTGGAAGACGCGTACTGCCTCAGGAGCGTCGAAGAAGCCATGCGGATAGCCGAGCCCATAGAGGTACGGCGAGACGGGGTGTGGTGTGGTGTGGTGTGATGTGGTGCCGTGGCGTTAAAAAATACTTCCGTGCGACAGTTGCTGTTGTCGCCACGCTAGTCTTTTTTGCCAATGACGTTTGTGCTTGTGCGAGACGCGCATGTAGCATAATACGCATTCGATGACGATGTGGAAATAGTTATCCTTAATTCGTAGGTATGCAGCTGACCCGAGGGTGTGCCTCGGCCCCCGGCTGCCCTCTGTCACTGCCCCTGATGGCTGCTGTATATTGAATGTTTCCGTTGTCAACAAAACTACTTTGCCACGTTGTTTTGCCACTATTGCTGTTGCGCTTAAGACTGGTCTCTCGGAGCCTTGGTCAAAGAGGCATAGCCTTGGCCTCTCGAATGTTGCGACAATGTACGCGAGACAGAGGCGCGCAAACCAAAGGCAGCATCCTGACAGACAAGAGACAGAGACAGAGAAAGAGAGAGACGTAAACAAACCGTCCCCGACACTGCCGTAATGTTGCACGCCGTTCGTTTCCAGGTGCAGGACGGGACGTACGTGAGCTCGATGGTGGAGGACGCCAGCTTCCTCGTCCACAAGAGCTTGCGGCGCTCGGTGTCGACTCGAAGCGAGCAAGCGATCATGGCCGTGTGCAACAGGGTAACGGAGGTGAGGCTGGCTAGGGGATGATCCACCACGCCACGGGAGCAGACGAACTTTTTTTGTCGTCCTTTGACGGTATCGTACGCGTCTGCGTTTTTTTGTTCGCTTCCCGTTTCCCTTGTTCATTTTGTTCTGTGCATCTTTCCCCTCTGACCCTCTCTCTCTCTCTCTCTCTCTCTCTCTCTCTCTCTCTCTCTCTCTCTCTCTTGCTTTTGTGTGTGTGCACAGTTTTGCCCCCGCTGTAAGGACAGTCACGGTTTTTCTTCAAAATATATATATCCTTTACGCAAGGATTTGGTCCTTCACGGAATCCCGGATCATGGCGTTTGGAAACATTTCCTCTTTTCAGCCGCGCTGAGACTGACTTAGTTTCATGGGCCAGCCTATTGGCGCGGTCGATGCTAGTATTAGAAACACACAAACTAGTCGATCAGTAGTCCATGACGCTTGAAAACATCACGAGTTCGTACCGACAGAATACGAGCCAGCTCGAAGGTAAACCGTCTCCGATTTCTGTTGTATGGTAAGCCTTCAGGCGAAAAATTCCTCCTGCAAAAGGCTTCGTAGGCCAGATGGTTGGCGATCGATTAATCGGAGACGGTTTACCTTCGAGCTGGCTCGTATTCTGTCGGTACGAACTCGTGATGTTTTCAAGCGTCATGTACTACTGATCGACCATTTTTCACCACGGCCAATAGGTTGGGAGGTTGGGGTTTCGGTAGTAGTTCTGGTGAAAGCGATAACGATGGTATTGAGAGTATTGTTTTGAGAGTGACGATGATGAAAGAAGGGGAAAGGAAAAGAGAGGAGAATGAGGGCGGTGATAGAGGAGGAAAACATGGCGTGGAAGAGAGCAAAGGATTTGAGCCAGGTGATCTTCCTCACAACATATGCCGCAGGACTGGAGAGGACCTGCCAAAAAGTAGCAGGGAAGACGATGAAAACAATGCAAAAAAACGCACGCGCATCCAATGTAGTAGCGGCCACGGCAAAGTCGTGCAGTTTTCTTCTGTTATTGCTACGGTGTGTAACTTTAATCCTGAGGTTAACGTAGACTCCCCCGTGACCCTCGGTCACAGGGTCCCAGATCGTTTACCTATTGAAGCATTTTGTGTTTTCTACCGCACTGAGACTGGCGTATTTTTATTGGTCAGCCGGTTAGCGCGGTCGATGCTAATAAAAATGACGCATACAAACACTCACGCCCGCGATGTCGCTTGCCCGTTCTGCCGCCGCATCCACGACCTCCCGCCCGCAGATACTGGACCCGCACGCGCCGGAGCCATCGTTCTTCGGAGGACTGGCGACCGAGGCGGACCACAGGGTCCCCGTGGGTGGGGGCGAGGGAGGGGGCGGCGACGGCGAGAAGGGGGGCGATCAGCAGCCGGACGACTTTTCCACGGCTCTGGCGAAGTGGGTTCTACGTTTTTATTAAACAGTTTAATGCGTGCTCTGCGTTTTCGATGCGCGTTTAGGGGGGCGTGTGGATGGGTGTGTGGTGGAGTACGTAATAACGTTGGGCCGTGCGAATGCGGCGAAAAGAACAATGGTGGTTCGGGTTGATGTTTATTTGACGTTTCGGTAGAACGGAGGGGGGGGGGAGGAGGGGGGGTCATACAGAGTCTGCCGCGTCTGTCTCAAGGCAGGATTCTGGGGGTTGGTAAGCTAAACCTCGACGGAACGCTGAGGCGAACGCCGGGTTCGCTGCGCCGCAGAACACCTCTGTTACGTCTCGCCCGTCTTAAAAGAGCCAACTATGTTTACTCTCGTGGACAAGCTAGTCGACTCGCGAGAAGCCTTGCGTGTGGCTCCTCGCGTACGCCCTTCTGCTGTCGCTGGCAAACTCTTACGTATGTTTCGGTGTGGCAACCGCAGGGCGCTCGAAGAAGCCGCGGACGAGCATTCGGGCCCAAGAGGGGAGGGGAGCGGGGACGGGCGCGCCGCCGGCAGCGGGGCGGGGGAGGAGTTCGGCGAGGTCGAGGGCGCGATGGTCGGGATCAATAGCGTGCACGTGGCGCTCTCGTCGGTGTCTGCGATTCAGGTACACGACAGGTTGTGTACATGTTGCCCGATGGGGCGTGAGCCCTGCTGACGAGCGTGCTCGTACACGGACAGACACACGCGCGGAAAGATTTGTGGTACGCTTTGCTCGGGGCGTGGCGGCGGCTACAAGGCCAGGCCAGAGAGAAAGAGCGGCAGGCACTCTTTCTGCCTCGACCCCCCCCCCCGACCCTCTTCTCGTGCTCGTTTGTCCTACTCCTTCTATTCGAAGATGTCACCCATTGCATTTGTTTTGCTACCGGGTACAACAGTGAATACCAGGGTACGGCAGCAAGCCGAGATTCAACAGCTGGGTTGCTCCTCAGGAGAAGAATTGTTTATGTCGGGAAGGGCGGCGCTGAAAATATCTATTTCAGAGTTTTCGGAATAGATTTACATGGCGTTCGGCGTGGGGCGCGATCTTGGAGTGGAGCAATCGAGTTTTGAATATCGACGCCCAAGAGATTCTGATATATATATTTTTGCACCTTCAAGAAATGGTGCTTGCTGTTTGTCGACCTTCTTCGTTTGTTCTGCCCGAAAGACCTCGGCGGTCTCCTTTCGACTGACCATCTCAATACCGCTTGTTTTGTCGCCTGATTCTGCTTCAGTCTTTTTAATAATGAGGAGTGCTGGCGTGCGAAAATACTATTTTTGTTTGTCTATGCTTCACCGTCTTCGCGATTTGGGACACGTTCCACACGTCCTTTTTAAAGCAACGATGAATTGAATAAATGCCAGGACGCGTTGAATCGGTTCCTGGAAGCGAGCAACCCTCTGGTGGGTCTCATGCTCGACGAGGTGGCGCGGATACTCCGGTCCTACAAGGACCTGCGGGACTCCCGCCTCAACGACGTCCTGGAAGCACTCTCACCCCCCGTGTCGAGCGCCCTCGCCAACGCCTTCGGCTCCTCGTCGTACGCCCTCGGCCCCGCCCAGTACGAGCTACGTTCGGGCGACCTCCCCGGCGCCCGCCGCGTCCTCCACGCGGCAACGCGCGCGATGACCGGCAGCGACAACAGCGGGGAGAGTGGTGGTGGTGGTGGTGGGGCGGGGGCGGACGCGGATGGAGGTTGCCGCGCTGCGCTGCTGCAGGAACCGTTCGAGGAACTGGTGCGGCGCTTGGCGAGCCGGGTCGCTGCGGGCGTGGAGATGGCGGCCAGGGCCAAGGGGCACGGTGGTGGTGGTGGTGGTGGCGCCGGGGGAGGGGGGGGGGGGTTCACCGAGTGGGGCGCCCTGTTGTTGAGGAAAGAGGTGCGAACGCTGCAGCAAGGCCTGGCGGCGCTGATGGAGACGGACAGCCTAAACATGGAGTTCGGTGACCTCAACGAGCTGGTGAGTGGGGCGGGGGGGGGGGGGGGGGAAGTTTTTTACCCCCCCCAAAAACTTTAAGGCTTTCTAAGCCAACCCGCCCCCTTTGAAATTTTCTCAATGGGGCCCCCCAAATATCAAAAAAACATTAAACCTCCCTGCCCCTAAATTTCAAAAAAAGGGGCCCCCAAATTAATTTAACAAATTTTGGCCCCCCCCCAACAAATCTTTGCCCTACCCCAAAATATTTAAGCCAAAAAAAACCAATGGGGCCCCTAAATCCCCCAAAAGGTGGAAGTAACCCAAAATTTTTGGAAACCCTCCCGTTTAACTTTTTTTTCCGCCCCTTTTTTTTTTTTTTTTTTTTTTTTTTCCCCCGCCCCCCCCCCCGTTTTCTAAATCCCCCCCACCACCCATAAAAAAATAAATAAAAACAACTCCCTGTACCCCCCTCATTTTGTGGGTTTCCCTCCCCAAAAAAAAAATTCTTTTTGCAGAATTTCTAAAAAAAAAAAACCTAAACCCCCCCA